AGAAAGGAATGACTTTGTGGCATTTGCCAGTAAATAGTTGGAACTGGAGACAATCATGCTAAGTGAAATAAGCCAGCCCCCAAACATCAAAGGTCAAATGTTTTCTCTGATATGCAGAAACTAATCTAAAATAAGTGGAGAATATTTTTAAAAAGAATAGAGAAAAGATCAGTGGAGTAGACAAAGGGGAATGAAGGGAAGGGAGGAGAGATGGGATAGGGAAAGACAATGGGATGAGTCTGACCTGATTTTCCTATGTACCTATGCGAGTATACCACAGGGACTCTCACCATCATGCACATCCACAAGACACTAATTAAAAAATCAGAAAGTAAATAACAGAAAGAGCAGTAGAGCAGAGGAAAGGGGAACAGGGGGAGGGAGAGGGTAAGTACTGGGGACTGGAGAGGAACAAATTATCTTCCTCCTCAGCCACCCGCACCACTGAGATTACAGACAGGCACCACTGCATCCACCCATGCTTTCATAATTATGTCAAAATGAACCCTGTTGTCATGTATGACTAAATAAGAACTCCAAAAAGGAAAGAAATACATTGATGTTGAGTGTGGGATTAATAAAAATGAAGTATTTATTTCCAATTAGTTAGCAGAGACTGTACGTTAAGAAGTCATCAATAAAATGATGAACCCAGCCTAATTTGATTTTAAGATTGGGAGCCATCTCGTCACAAGGTCATAAAAAGTTAATTTCTGTTTTACTGTAAATTACTGTGATTTCTAAACTTGTTTGGAATTCCTGCCCGTGCTCTGAACTCACCCATGCCTGGCTTTCCCTGACCAGGTAACAACCCTCACTGAAACCTCAGAGGTGCCTCATAAATTCTGGTGTTGAGATCTGAATTTACTCCCTACCTTGAAATATCATGCCATGTGGATCATTAACCTACGATCTGCCTTTGTATTATACTTGTCAAAATTCTGTTAGCTGTAAGTTCTCAAGATACCCCTCTTTGCAACTTTTTGTGCTATAAAACCTTGTTTTTGGAGAGCTGGGGGCTGGTCTCTAGCCCTCGTTAGAGGAGACAGCCGCTGATCAGTCTCTTTGTGTACACAAATACAAGCTTGCTTTAATTTGATTTAAAATTGGAGTTGGTGGTCTTTTCTTTGTGTCGGGGTTCAACAAAAATATATGCTGAAAATATAAGCTAGAACATGGGGCAATAACCATGCAGACAGATTCTAAGATAATAATCTATAAAGAACCAACAACCCAACTCTATGGCTAGGCAACTGAACTCAGAAATATTCATTTTCTCCTCATATGAGCTGCTATATCAGCTATTTGTAAATGAATAATTGAGGTACTAAGTGGCATGCACCTGTTTGATTGAATTATTTGAAACCAAGGTATTATTCTTCAGACTGAACTACCCTAATCAGGCATCATTAACTATCCTTATCTGTTTTGACAGATAGCACAAAAGCACAAAATGTTAGGAATTTTATTAGTAAAATGTAAGTCTCGATAGTATTTGAAGTCTTTTATTAGTCCATCCTAATAAGGGAAAAAATATGAAAAGATGAATCTAGAAAAAAATCTTCAAATTTCATTTCTTTTGACTGTTCTTATGCTACTCATTTCAAGTCTTTCATCAGAAATATGAAACAAGCAATAAAACAGATGGAGGACATATGAAATTCAAATGACTTCTGCATTCTCTAAAAGAGAGTTATTAACACAAAGAAGAGTGAAAAAAAGGACACATAGATACAGAGTTACAGCAGCCCAAACAGCATGGTGCTGGCATAAAAATAATCTTTAAGGGAACTGTTAATAGAAAGAAACACACTGGGAAATTTCTCACTGTGTTGAGTTCTCTAAGTTCCAACCCCATTTGAGTTCACAGGGCATTAAGTACTTGCAGGCAGCAAATCAAAGACTGAATAATACACATGACTTACTAAAAAATGAAGATGGAAATAGTATTTAAATATGTATAAAGTAAAACATGCACTATGACAAACAGATACCACACAATGGTTTTGCTTGACTCAAAAGAAATATAACTAAAAAGAATTATTTGTTATTTGTTAAAAACTTTGAATGAATGAGATCCTAATATTTTGATTAATAATTGCAGTGTTCTTTTAGCATTTTGACCTAATTTTGTTTTTATATTGTATCTAGTTGTTCCTATATAAAGTTAACTTTATTGTTGCCCCAAGACAATTTTGTAAACAGGATGAAAATCTCAAAGGCTTTAATTATCTCAGTTAAATAGGAGTCCCTATTAGTTACTGGTGTTAGTTACTTCTAACACCAGTCTTTTAATTCTAATTATCATCCCAAATTGGGATTTCAGATTTTTTTTTCATTTGTATCTCTTATATTCTCTATGTTAAGTGATGATCTGGAAATGTCACCTTTATAGGCTTGGTGATATGATTTAGTAATTATTAAAAAAAAGATTTAAGAAGCAGTAAGAAAATTAAGCTGGCTTAGGTAAATGTTCTAAAACCTGATGGACATCATTAAAAATAAAATAAATACAGATTTCTCATTATCATTGCTTTTGTCCAATTCACAGACTGGTCATTCATTTTACTATATGTCCAATAGCTTTTAAATGATAATAGTTAAGTCTCTCCTTCTAAACTCTAGAAATACTAAAGAATAAACTTCGCAGATTCATCATTATTAATTCTCTCCTCAAATTCACACAATATTAATGTTATCATAGGCCCAATGGCTTTTCAAATGATTACAAAAAAGCCCTTGTGACTAATTTGAAAATTACTGAAATCACATTCACCATTAAAATTTACTGGAAAACTCAGGGTAGTTTTTAAAATATACTATCTCACCTAAATAGGTAAATGTTGAAAAATCTCAAATTTGCTAGTATATGTTCTTACAAATATACAATAACTATAGTAAATAAAAGTATAATGTATGTTGTATTTTGAAAGGAGATGCTCAGTAGATCATATACAAAATATCCAATTTTCCCAACTTAATGACAGGGTAGCACAGGAAAGAAACAATTACTGCAATGTTCTGTACTAAAAAAGGAAAGCACAGCTTCTTACACATTCTTTAAATATAAGCTAAGTGAGAGCAAAGCCAAATGATAAAAGGAAAAAAACAAGAGTCAACAAGGAGAAACACATGAAGGCTAGGACATCTCTTTGAGGTCCCCCTGATGACAGCAGCAAAGCCTCCAGCCCTCTGTTCAGTTATATACATTATATGTCATATTCATGTATGGCATATAATACATATAACTATGTCCCTCATGCTTGCTGGAGGGGAGAAAATCTAATATGTAGCCATAATCTTTTCTACCTCTCATTTCTGACAGTGAGGGTAAAAATAAAACAGGAAATTTTCTAGTTATCTATAAAATGTAAAATGTGCAAAAAAAAAAAAGTTCATGTTTGCTTCAAGCTGTAGAAGAAATCATGACTTGCATGTTATTGCATTCTGTAAAATTGTTCAGGAGTCATAAATTACATTTAATTTTCACTACATACAAAACTTGCCCCCCCCGCGCCCCCCCCAAAAAAAGCAACACAAAAGATGTATTCTGGGATTACTTTACTTCCACACTGACTGAATACTGATAACACAGTATATTACCTTTATTAATCTTTATGTTATGAATAGAATTTTTAAGTAGAAGACAAGGTAGATTTGTCACAAGAAAATTTAAAAAATCGGTATTTCAAGCTATTACTTTTGTACTTGCTTTGCAATTACAATATAGACATTTTGTCAAATGTCCTCAAGACTCTCCAGTTTGACAAATGGTATTTCTCTCCCTGTCCTTTTCTAAGACATTTTTACATTTTCCATTGTTCTAAAATATGTTGTTCATAAAGGAGAACTCTAATAGGGAAAAAATGTGTCACAGGAAATATATAACAAAGCCTCCCATTCCAAACTAGCTTAAACATACAAAACTTCATGACAACCTGTCAACCTCACTGTCATGAACAGCTTTGTTACAAATCTTATAGGGTATTTTATGGTAAATTTGTGATCAGGAACATCACGTTGTTCAACCCAATTGCCTGTTTCTTCACTTTGATTCCCTTATGCCTCCCCTTCCAGCAAGGCAATTAAGCAAAATTAAAATTCTAATTATCAACTAGCTAGAAAATAGAAATGACTTTTTCACTCTGAAAATTTGATGCAATAATCACACCAAGGATAAAAGTTTTACATTAAGCCAGCTTCCTTGTAAAAGTAGGTCAAGTAACAAAAAATAAAATGCAGAAGTTAAGCTAATGGTTTCAGATTCCTCAAGATGTGATTATTACATTGTAACATCCACGAGGGCCAGGCATTTGCAGAAAAAAAGTCTCTAACAGGGGCCCTTAAAGGAAATTAGGAATGCTTCACGAAATTATCATTGGAGAATAATACTTTGTTACATGAGAGAAACAAACCTGAGCTTGGAGATACTTCTTTGCATCGCTCCTAGGAAATTTTAAACTTTCTAGAATTCCTAATAAACACTAATCACATAAAACAAAAATTTTCACTCTTAGATACAGTAGTAAATGAAATTAGGAAAAATATACTGAGCTTGGAAATGACCATATGGAAACAATTTCTAGGTTAACACAACATGCTCTTTTTCTGGTGGTATTTTGGTATGTCTGAGTCCTTCACCTCCATCAGATAGATGATCTGATTTATCTGTGTTGTCCAGATCTGAATAAAGATGAAATTCATTTCCTTAGAGTTCTCTCTGATCCCCCTTTCTTTCTTATCTGCTCTGCAACAGAACCTATCACAATAGCCATGTGGTAATGGACATCAACTCTCTCTCATTGCCATTATCTGGAATGACTTGAACTGTAGGCAAAGTAATTTCCTGAATCTCTATACTTGGAGGTTCACATCTTCCCTTTGTGTTGATCAGCAATTAATTCTTATTTAATCAACATTCAAATTTTGTACCAAAGCAGGAATCTTCTTATCCGGCATTAGCTTAGCTTATGATTAACTTCATGGAAAGGCTCACTTACCTTGCACAAACCCTCTCCTGGATCTGCTGCTCTGTGGGTGTCTTCCATCGCCTTTGCTGGTGCATAGTATTTAATCTCTGCTGTAGCCTTAATGATACCATCACAGTAGACACTGATGTTGACTGAACCAGCAGGAAAATCTTATCAAAACACAAATAAGATTTAGGAGCTGGGATATATAATACATATTTCATAGCATTCTATATTTTAAAGAACATAAAGTAAGGCTTTAAGAATTCACTAACAATTTTACTAATGTCTATCACTTAAATTTTCTTATCCTTAGTATTTAGAAATCATAAAATAGAATTTAATTGTTTTTTAATGTAAAAGAACATATTAAAACATGCTAAAGTTATAATAAAAGCAAAACATTAAATCCTTTCTTCCTACTTACTCATTTTTTGGGGGGTAGGGATCTATAATCATCATTACATAATTTTTTAGAATTTATAAAAGTGCAGTCATTCATTAAAAGCTAGGTGTTTAGGTGTTTGTTACCAATCTTATGAAGAAAATTCTAATTAATTATAGGCAAGCTTCTCAAAATAGTGTTTGGAAAGAGCAGCACTGATTGAAATTACAGAATTTGTATTCAATTGATCAGAATGAAATACCTTGGGGAAAGCAAGACCTAATGCTCTGATACTTAAGCATGCCCTGTATATACACAATACATTCATCCAAAGCTTTTAGTAACAAATTATTCAAGGTAGAATTCCCTGTGAATTCTGCAGTATCATACCAACATAATTAAAGTTATGCAAAAATCAGAGGCTCTCCATGAAAGAATAACAATGTATAATCATTAAAATAGAGATATTTCTGTTTTACTGTAACATAAGTAAACAAAATTTAGCTCTTTAAATTTATTTGTAGGACAGTTCTTAAAAAGCTTTCACTTTGTTGCAGAGATATTTCTCAAATTCTCCTGGAAAATTGTCACTCAAAACGTGTGGGTTTGGGATAAGTCATTAATTATAAAATCAACAGCCTTGAACAGACTTGAATATTTAAAATTTCTTAAGGCTCAAGCATTAATTTTACTTTATCTCATGAAAAAAAGTTAATGGAGCTCTTATAATTTTGTTCAGGGAAATTTAAAGGCAACAAAAGCATTCTTAAGCTTAACTAGGTCAAGGAGCTGTTCTGTCCTCATTCCATATTCTTGACAAGATACTGACTTGCAGTACAAAAGAAGAATCACTGTCTTCCTGAAGAAGTACTCACCCAACAGAGGACATAAGAGAAACCTGAACCCAAACTCAAAGTTGGGAAACACATTGCCTGTGCTAAGGTGGTGATGGTAAAGAGGGGTCCAGAATCCCTGGAGCCAATAAAATGAGTTTCTATAGACTTCCAGAAGATGCTTTTTCAAAAATTTTATTTTTTTGTAGTAAATCATGAAAATAGTTTTGAAGAAGATATTGATTTCACATACTGGGAAAAATATTAGTAGATTTATCCTACTGAAAGTATGCCAGGCAATGAATGAAAGATGCCTAGTGAGAAGATCTGTTTGGCTGGATCTGGTGGCACTTATCTGTAATTCCAGTGGCTCCGGAGGCTGAGGCAGGAGGATTGTGAGTTTAAAGTCAGCCTCAGCAAAAGCAAGGTGCTAAGCAACTCAGTGAGACCCTGTCTCTAAATAAAATACAAAATAGGGCTGGGAATGTGGCTCAGTGGTTGAGTGTGGTAGTTCTTTGCTATAGAACACTTAAAACTCTAATTTCTTTAGAGTTCAACATGAAAATGAATGGATTTGCTTTTGATATATAGTCACTACTTAGCTTACAACTTTACCAGGGTATCTAATGATGTTCTTGTTAGTGCAATATTTCAAAGAAATGCCCTCCAAAGTATCATGTTTGCTGCATATATTTTCATATCTGTTGAGTGGCAGTTACTAAATTCAAACATAATTACTGCTTCCACCCATATATTAGAAAATAACTACTTATGAAATCATTTGGTTGGGAGGCCCCCTTTATCATGGTATCATTACATCAGTTTCTTTATGAACACATCAATTTGTTTTTTTCATGAACTGTACCTGAACTGCTTGAGCATAATTTCACTTTAACATGGGTTCACTATGACTACATTTTATAGCTTTTCAAAAAATGAAAGAAAGAAAAAAATAAAACCGGGCCTGGAGTTGTAGCTCAGTGGTAGAGTGCTTGCCTAGAATGTGTGAGGCATTGGGTTTGATCCTCAGCACCACATATAAATAAATAAATAAATAAATAAATAAATAAATAAATAGTTATGTGTCAACTTAAAATCAAATAAAAAAAGAAAGAAAGAAGAAGAAATAGAAACCAAATAATTTAAAGACTTATATAGAAAAGAGTAAAAGTAAATCCTGCTGTTTACCATCTAGACTGAGATAACAAGTAATATCTAACTCTGGAAGTGCACACAAATAGAGGTCAAGGTCATCAAACAAAGCAAGCTTGTGAGAGCCAGCAGTGAAAAGGTAAAAAGACCCACAATGGAAGGAAAACATGGAGCCCCTTCCCTCCATCAGATATAAACACATACAGAGAAGCAATGAAAAAGGAATGCTATTTAAATTTCAAATCTCAAACTCTAGGCCATTTAATGTCATTGTCTCTTTAAAGATATTAATTTTCTATTTCCAGACTAAAGATGGTAATCAAATCTATTTGCTTCTAATTTTTACTATCTGAGTGATAAATCACGTCACAAAAAATACTTCAATAACTTTCTCTTTCTCCATGGTTCAACTGGTCATTTCTTCCACATTAAGCATAAACTGATGCAATTTAGGGAAAATACAATCCCAAGGTATTTTTGAATAGTAAACATATTTTACTTATTCCATAATAGTATCTATTTCACAAACCCAGTAAGAGCTCTTTTACTGGTGTTATTTTCATTATCTGAGAAACCATCTGACTTTGAGAGCCAATTTTAGTCCTAACCTTCAATGGTAGATGAACTCAACTAATATTTCCACGAGATCTGGTTTGACTCTTAGGATTAAATAAAGATGGTTTCAAAACCTTGGTCCTGCCTAAAAATTAATCTCAATTTAAAATGTTCAAATCACAAATTGATCATAGAAATCTGTTTGTCAATGTTGCTTTTTCCCTAAGTATGTTTGGCATATCCTGCAGTGTTTTCAAGCTCTTTTAATGAAATAAAATTTATAATTCATATTACCTAGAATGGAGTTTCCTAATTAATAAAGGGAATCTATGTTTTTCAGATATATTATGCATTCCTTTCAACCTTTAATTAGTTGTCCCCCTGCTGTGCTGTTTTTTTATTTTTTATTTTTTTTCCTGGCTATGCTACAAATACCAAAGGAATACCCTCTTCCTTCTGCACAGCAATTAGTTAATATTTAAAGTTGTAATGCTTCACATAGGTTTTTTATACATTTAGACATAAGCTAGAACCATAGTAACTTCAAATTGCATTAGTCAAAAGTCCTTGTCAGAGATAAACCTACGGATACCATCAGAAAGGTATGTTTCTTGAAAAATAAAGTTATTTCAATTTTATCAAGTTATGGAGCTGAATGGAAAGGGGAGGTGATAAAAAAAAAACTAGAGGATACGTTCTCAAATGAAAAAAAAAACAGGTTAAAATGTGGAAGTGGGTCAAAGGTACAGAGGCAGCAAAGAAAAAAGTATCTTTTAAGATTTCCTGACTAGTCAGCATCATTGTACATGAACATAAGAGATGTTCTATTCTGCATTGTTACCACATGAAAATGGCCCTGCATTAGTTTTTATGGAAAGTAGAAAATTAATATTCGATTTATTTAAGATACAGATCAATCCAGAACATCCATTTCTTAAGTGAGTTTTGGTAGCTTATGTCTTCCAAGGAATTAGCCCATTGGTCTAAGTTATCAAATTTTTACTCTTACAGTGTTCACAGTACCCCTTGTTATCACTGAAATGCTCAAGGATTAGTGGTAATGACGCCTGATATTGTATTTCAGATGTAGGAAATTGTTGTCTTCTCTCTTTCTTTCTTGGTTAGCCAGGCTAGAATTTGATCAATTTTATTGATCTTTAAAAGAACTCTCTTTGAAGTTTGTTGATTTTACCTCTTATATTCCTCTTTTATTATTTTTTGCTTTAATTTTTATAATTTATTTCCTTCTGTTTGCTTTATTCCTAAATTGCTCATTTCCTCTGTTTTCTTAAGGTATAGGCATCTTTTATTGATCTCAGATCTTTTATTGATCTTCTTCTTTTCTATTATAGATATCTATGAGAAATTGTCCTGTCATCTTTTCTATGCATCTCACAAACTTGGGTAAGTTATATTTTCATGTATTTGAAATCATTTTTTATCTTGCTTTTTAAAACTTGTTGTTAAACCTTTGAATATTTAGGAAAGTTTTAAATTATCCTGTTATTGATTTTTATTTCATTTCCATTGAGGGAAATTTGTGGTTTCTATTTGTTTACATTGATCAAAGTGATTTTTATAAAGACCAGCATGAGATTTATCTTGGTGAATGTCTCTTGTGAATTTCAGAAGAATGAACATCCTATTACTGTTGGATGTAGTATTGTATGAATGTCAATTAAATCAAGTTGATTAATAATACAGTTCAGCTCAACTATATACTTACTGATATTATGTCCTCTATCAATTATTGAAAAAAAAGGTGTCCAAATCTTCACCTAGAATAGCATACCTTTTTTTTATCTCCTTCCAGTTCAATTTTCTTTTGCTTTATATGTTTTACGTTCTTTTTTAATATTTAGTTTTTAGTTGGAAGTGGACACAATTACCTTTATTTTATTTTTTGTGGTGCTAAGGATCAAACCCAGCGGCTTATGCATGCTAGGCGAGTACTCTGCCTCTGAGTCACAACCCTAGCCCTGATCCTCTGTTGTTAAGTGCATATATATTTGGGATTGTTCTATCTTCTTGGAGATTGTACCTATATTGTAACATAATGGCCCTCTTTATTCATGATAATTATCCTTATTTGAAAGTTTCTTTGTCTGTAATCAACACAGTAGTCCAGCATTTGTTGATTTGTGTTAATATGGTATATCTTTTTCCATCCCTTTATTTTTTATTTAACTGTGTCTTATATTGAAAGTGAGTTTTCTTCTGTAAACATATAGATGAGTCTTGCTTTTTTATTCACTCTGGCAATCTGTCTTTTAATTGGTATACTTTGAGTATTCATACTTCAGTAGTGAACACCAGGCTTTAGTCATAGTTGGGTTACTACTCAGTGTATTTGTAACAATCTTATTCACTGAATTTTTTCTACTTTCCTCCTCCCAACTTCAACTTTTTCTGTTCTTTCAGTTTTAATTGAGAATTTTAGAAATCCCATTTTAAGTTTTAGTTATATCTTTAAATTTTTTAATGATTGTCCTAGAGTTTTGAATACATATCTAACAAACTTAGTTCCACCCTCAAATAATACAATGACACTTTATAGATGGTGCAGTTATCTTGTAAAAGAATATTCCCAATTCTTTCCTCCCATTCCTTATAATATTGCTGTTGATCAGTTCACTCATCCATATGCTGTAATCACATAATACATTGTTACTATTTTTAGTTCAGAGATATAACACCTTTCTACCCCTATGCATATTTATTTTTAAGTAAGTCATTAAAATTAATGCTAAAGTACTTCTACCAATTTATGGGTTCAGTGAATTATACTCCAGGTAAACAGATCTCAAAGGTCACTCTCTTGATACCACTCTTAGAGATTTTGGTTAAAAATCTCTTTGGGTCAAAAACACAGCACCCCAGATTATGATGCCTTAGTGTGCTGAGTACTTTGAACTGGAGGAGACTTGAAGGGCCTCAGAACTAAGGACTATCTGACAATCCTCCCACCTCCCACCCCTTTTTCTTACTTGAAGAGAGTCACAAAACAGAATTTGCTTTTCCAAGGTAGTTCCAACAACTAGAATGTCTCCTTTCAAAAGCAAGCCTTAATACTTCAAAAGGTCACACTTGCTTCTCCCTTGGAGGCCCTCATTGCAGAGGTTCTTAGCCCACACCTGGAAGAAGAAATGCTACACAGAGAGGCCAAGAAGAATCTGGACCCTCAGGCTTGGCTGGGTGGCCTTTCTCAGTTGGTTATCATTAGATATCTTTGGTCCTTTTACAATTCTATACACTGTCCGTTCCTTATTGAAACTAAACATAAAAATAGTTTTCTCTGGGTCTTTGGGTCTTTTTTTAAAATTTTTATTTATTTATTTATTTTAGGTGTTGATGGACACAACACAATGCCTTTATTTTTATGTGGTGCTGAGGTTCAAACCCGGGTCCCGCCCCTGCCAGGTGAGCACTCTATCGCTGAGCCACAATCCCAGCCCTTTGGGTCTTCTTTCTGAGGCTTCCAGCATCATATAAAACTTTTACTAAATGAATTTGCTATGCTATTCACATGTCAGTCTGTCTTTGTTTTGGACATGTCAACTATGGCCCCTTTGATGGGTAAGCAGAGATATAACAATTTTCTACCCCTATGTGACTTATTTCTCACATGGGTTCAAGGGTACTCCAATTTTAGTTTGCTCAGCTTTATCTTATGAAATGGGAGTGACATTGTCTAAGCTCTCTGCTTGATGAGGCTGAAACCATTAGTATGATATTGCTTTTAAAACTTTGGTTTTGAACAGTTACCTATGTATGACTGGCTCATGGTATAAAATGAAGTTCTTACTAGGGTTCAAAATATTTCAAAACCAGAGAAAGTAAGATTCTGACCTCTTCTGCTGAGACATTTTCTGTCTATAGTTCCACACAGATTCATATGAACATTTTGTATATTGTGGCATAGCAACAAGCACTTTGAAAGAAAACCTCTCATTAATTTCTATATACCAGTAGAAAGAACAACTTGTAGAAATTTAATTAGGATAGTAAATAGTGGTTTATTTATTGATTGATGACATATTTGTTATTTTACAATGTAGACAATATTATGATCATATATATCTTTAGAGAGAAGGAAAGTTAGTTTCCTACTTTTCTGATAAGCAATTTGAACTTTGGCATCTTTTTATCTTCTCTTTTTATGTTAAATAGATATAATATTTTCACTTACTTATAGAGCATGGCATTATAATTCAATAGATGTATTCAATGTGTAATGATCAAATAAGAGTAATTATCTTTTCTATGAGAAATATATTATAATTTCTATGAGAAACCCTTCTCTAGTTATTTTGAAATATATAATTAATTGTGTGGACTTGAGCTGCTCTGTTGTACTAAAGAACATCAAAACTACTTTTCCTCACTTAAGTGCATTTTGGTATCCATTATCTACCCTTTCTCCATCCCACCTCCTCCCCACCCTTCCTATCCTCTATTGACCTCTATTCTACTCTATATTGCTATGTGCTCAACTTTTTTTAGTTTTTACAAATGAGCTATAACATGTGGTATTTGTCATTTTCACTTGCTTATTTCACTTAGCATAACGTTCTCCAGGTCCATTCTTGTTAAAAGGACAGGGTTTCAATTTTTTAATGAATAAACAATATTTCATTGCATACACACACATACAAATGTGCGCATGCGTACCCAAGTTGATTCCATATCCTGACTATTGTGAACAGTGCTGTAGGAGCCATGTTAGTGTAGGTATCTCTTTGACATAATGATTTCACTTCCTTTGGAAATATACACAGTAGTGGAATTGCTAGATCATGTAGTATTCTACCTTCAGTTTCTTGAAGAACCATTATTTTGTTTTGCATAATGGTTGTACAAAGTTTCATTCCCATGAATAGTAATGAATTCCCATTTCTCCATATCCTTGCCAGCGTTGGTTGGTTATCTTTTGTCTTTTTGATAATAGACATTCTAACTAGGGTGAGATGATAAGTCATAGTTTGATTTGCATTTCCCTGATGATGTAATGTTGAAAACTTTTCATATACTTATTGGTAACATCTTTTAAAAATTGCAAACTCATATCATCTCCTTCCCCTGCCCCTGCTTCATTCATATTCATTCATATATATATATATATATATTGTGGGGGGGGTCTGGGGATTGAACCCAGGGCTTCATGCATGCTAGGCATAGCACTCTACCACTGAGCCAAATCCCTAGCTCCATTTCTTCAGTTTTTAATAGGATTACTTTTGTTGTTGTTTGAGTTCCTTATATATTCTAGATCTTATTCCCTTCTCAGATATATAGCTTAGAAATACTTTCTCCCATTCTTTAGGTTGTTTCTTTACTCTATTTGCTGTGAAGAAGCTTCCTGGGTTAATAAAATCCCATTTTTCTAGTTTTGCTTTTGTTGCCTGTGTTTTGGGATCTTATCCAAATAATCTTTACATATCCCGATATCTTGAAGTATTTCCCTTATGGTTCCATCTGGTAATTTCATGATTTCAGGAACTTTGGCACATTTTACTCTTTACACTACTCTTAGCCAATAGGTACACTGTGCAAAAAACTTAAGTCATGTGAATAATTTTATTTGACATCTTGATCTCTTACTTGGGAAATATTTAAGTACTTCTTAATTTACAATATTGACTTTTTCCTGCAATAACTTATTCTAACTAAATTTAATTTAAACTCTAAAAGTAATTAGTTAAAAATTACTATTCATAAATCAGTTAAGAATATGATATAAGGCGAAGCACAGTGGAACATGCCTGTGTCTTGAGAGGCAGAGACAGGAGGATCACAAGTTCAAGATGAGCCTTAGCAATTTAATGAGGATCTAAGCAACTTAGTGAGAATCTGTCTCAAAAAAAAAAAAAAAAGTTAAAGGGCTAGGAATGTGGCTCAGTGGTTATGCACCCCTGGGTTCAATTGCCAGTCCCCACCCCCTAAAAAAGAATGTGACTTAAAGAAGTAGGGGCTTTGTGACAAGAAAGAAAGAAAAAAGGGTTCTTTCTAATCACACTTGTAAGTATATTTGTCCATGAAAAGAAGCAGTGTCTAAAATGTTTATGAAGTCCTAGTATAAAGTCCTTCCTTCTACTAATCCAACTCCAACCCAAGTTGTACAAGGAAATCCACAGAGGGGACACATTTTTGCCTAAAACACATAAAGGTCTGTAAATGCTCTATAAATGTTCCGTATAAAAGTGACATTCTAGAAGGGGAAAAAAGAGGAGCTCAAGATATGTTTGACATACATTTTGACTTTAAATATTTCTATCACAATTCCAAATTCATAAGGTGAAGCATATTTTCATTGCAAAATATTTTGTGAAGTAATTTTATTCTTTGATTATGAAAGGATATAGTAAAATAAAAACAAGTAGTCTTAACATAACAAAACATACAAAATTATATATTATATATTTTATTTTAGTTACAATTGTTGTGGCAAGTATGGTTATTCTGTCTGGAATTTTATATCTAATACAATTAATCATGCTGTATGCAAAGCTGGGTAATCAAATGATTTTTAGCTTCATAAATGAAATAAAGAAATAATGGACAGATTATATGTAGAAATCATGATTAGAAAATACTGAAAAAGAATTATGCTTTCCAGAAAACCAAAAATATATTCAGAGACTTGCAGTTATAGGGGGTATGCAAAAAGGAAAAGAAAACAGAATATTTATTTTAATAAACCCAAATATCTGCTAATCTGAGTGTTACAATAAAATAAATAATTTTTGTTCTAAATTTATTAGCTGATGTACATTAAAGTGCTCTCTGTTACTGGCTGTCATTTTACTACATGGTACACAATCACATTTCTCATAATTTACACATTCTTACTTTTGCAAATCCAGATTAATAATAACAACCTTGGGTATGTGAAACTAAACACAGGAAACACCTGCAGAAAAATATTAGTTTCTGTAGGGAAGCAAAACCATTTATCATAAATTTAATGAAAGGAACTCAAAGTGATGTTTTATATTTCTTAAAGCATAAAAATTCTTACCTAAAGCTTTCATATACCAGACTTTCTTATTCCAAAGGGCGGGCTGTGCTCTAATGTGCATATTGTTTGATGTAAATTCAACTTCCACAGTTTCAGCAATTACTTCATCTCTCAAAAGAATGAATATCTCCCCAGGATTCTATAAAGTAAAAATATAACACAGTTCAGTTTACCTTAACAAAGAATCCATTACATTTATCAGTGATAAAGGTTATACCCTATCATTGAGCAAGTCTTCAATCCTATTTGTATTTCCAGTCATATTCAGACATGAAATATGTAAATGTGATGTTCACTACCCTTTAAGTTTATCAGTTTGATATCTATCCAATACTCATTTTTCCTCTCACCTCTTCCTACTATGGCATACTATCCTTGAGTAAAAGCATCTTTTCACAGACCAGCATGGGACTATCATTCAACTTTTAACCTAATCCCTTCAACTTTCTAGAACTTGGTTTCTTTATCTGTAAATGAGAAAGTGTTAAGTTTAACCTTAAGACCTCTTATCATTTACATGTAATGAAAATTTTTAATGTCTAGTAATTTTATTATATAGTAAGCATTCTCTGATTATTATTTATTTATATGAAGATCTGTGAAAATTTCTGAGTTGACCAAAGGTTATAAATCCACAAGTTTTGAGATTTAATTAAGTTGGAAAAAGTACATTTATGTATATGAAGTTAAAGTGTTATTGAAAGATTTATTTTTGGACAAAAATATCCAGAAAATTACTAACAATGAGAAATACTGAAGTTAATACTGACAAAAAGGAAAGAATAAAAATGTATCAAATGTCTGTTTTAAATCTCTTTTAATCATAACTGAAACTACACACACACACACACACACACAAAACCAAAATAGTTACTTTTTTCTTTCAGGAAGAGAGCAACAAATATGTATAGTTGCATTCTGAAGATTAATCTGTACTATCTCACTTCTAGATCCACACTTTTCTTCACACTATGCTAACCTTTTGAAAAAATAAAATATTCCTTTCATAATAATGAAATATCTCAGATAATACCTTTCAAAGACTTTCTTCCAAGTCATACTAAATTTCAGCCTTACACTAAATAAAACAGAAACCTCATTTATGTACTCTTGTAAATCATGTTTATCAAAAAGTCCTTGATTTCAAAATTCTCTTATTTAAATGTTTCTCCCTAAGTATTAATCACACATCAGTGAAACTTACATCTTAATAGTAATAGTTTCTACAAATAGTATGTTGATGATACAAATAATTTCAGCTGACACACAAATACACTTCAGACATTTTTTACCAAAGTCTACTCCCAATGTTTGTCTGTAGGATATTTCAAACTAAATTTCCCCTCACCAACTATACTGCACATAGAGAAAAGGGTCCATCTCAGAGGAAGGAGCACCATTCCATGATTCCACCTGTTGCTCTTGCCCACTTGCATCAGGGCAGGTTGGGAATGTTAGCCTTCATTCCTCACATCTGCAACCTCCTTCCCTCAGGGACTCCCTTCTAGATAAGCCCTTAGTTCCTTTTGTTTTTCTTGTCACTTCACCTTGAATCTTAAGTCACATAATTACTCCCTATTTGGTAGGTCTGTTTTCTCAAGAATTCAGCTTCACAGCTCTTCAGAGCTGTTTTCTGTGCTTAAGTCGCTCCTCGTTTTAACTTTGCTCTTTTCAAAGCTGGTAAGTCCAGGTGTACCCGCCAAATGTTTTATTCACCCAACCAACTCATTCTCATTCCTGAGTATCCACACAGGCTACTTCTTATGCAACAGATTCCCTCCTTAATAGAGGGCAGGGCTCCGCCTTTGACAATTTCCAGAGAAAAATTCTAAACAAAAGACAAGCATACTGACCTCTCCAAATGAGGGATTTACATCTTCATTTGTACCCAGGGCTGGCTTCATGGGCTTATGACCTATACAATCACAGGGCCCCACACTTAGAAGGCCCTGCCCTTGGCTTAATGTTCTGTTGTCACTCTTCTAAAATATTCAATAACTTGAACAAAGATCTTGCATTTTCATTTTGCTCTACAAATTAGGTAGCTCATCCTGTTTGTGTTATTTAGTTCCTTTTCTCCCTCTATTACCCTGTCTGTAGGTTCCTTTTCAAGGTCCAACTCAGGTTTTACCAGGTCTATGAAATTCTCCCTGTGATTTCAGCCCACAAGGAATTTTAGAGCATTCAAGGCACAATGACAAATGCCTGTAATCCCAGCCACTCTCGAGGCTGAGGCAGGAGGATTGCAAGTTCAAGTTTAGCCTGAGTAATTCAGTGAGACCAGTCTCAAAATAAAAATTAAAGAGGACTGGGAATGTATCTCAGTGCTAAGGATCCCTGGGTTCAATCCCCATTACCAAAAACAACAACAACAACAACAAAAGAGGTGAAAGGATATTACAGCATTTCATGTTCATGCCCTGCATCTGGCCATTGCTAAATCCTAATCTCCAGTCTTTGTTCTTCATATCTGTGTCATGGCTTCCCAGCTAGATCATAAATGTTCTGAGGGTGTTTTTATTTTCTCATACCATTGTATAATCTTGTAAGACTTAAGCAGATTAGAGATATTTTGTATATATTTCTTTGAGATGGAATAAATCTGTAAAAACATGACATTTTAAAACTGTTCCTTACCACCCTAGTACTCAGCTATATCTAATCCTTCTGGAGGGCTTGACCTTGATTACATGGATACATTGAACTCAATGGAGAAAGTATTAGGACTTTCATATGACCTTTAAGTTAATTTTATCAGTTATGAAGTTGCTGTTTTGCTATTGTTCTTTCTGATACCTCTGCATGTGTCTTATTTGGGTCTGAGATTCAGAGAGAATGGGTGAAGTTTGGCTGCATGGGTCACAAACCTTGAATGTTACTCCAAGATAAGTGCAATGGGATATCTTAAGCTAGAGCTGTATAGGCTTCTGCAGTTGGGATGGATCTTGTCTGTGACAGCAGAGTAGAAATTGATTATGGCAATGGTTTCAAATTTGACTGCTAATGCTCACCTTCAGAATCACTTGGAAAACATTTTAAAACTCTCGGTGCACAGGATGTAACTGAATATTTATATCTAGATAAATCCCTGGAAGTAGGAAATGGGCATTATTATTTTTAAAACTTCCCCTTGTAGCTGGGCAAAGTGGTGCACGCCTTTAACACAAACGGCTCCAGAGGCTGAGGCAGGAGGATTGCAAGTTCAAAGACAGCCTCAGCAATTTAGCAAGGCCCTAAGCAATTCACTGAGACTCTGTCTCTAAATAAAAAGTAAAAAAGGCTGGAGATGTGGCTCAGTGATTAAGTGCCCTCCGGGTTCTGTACAAAAAACAAAACAAACAAAACCCTCCCCTTGTATTCTCTAAAAGCCTTTCAGTAGTTTAAGAGCCATTTGATTAAAAGAAAGAGAAGTCCTTGACTTCTGTAAATATTCCCCTCCCAAAGGCAGCATGTTACAAAAGAGACATTTTAGGCATTAACGTACATGATCAGTTTGTTTTGCCTTTACAATTCTTATAAATTAAATCAAAGGTGCTGGGAGCCATTAGCCAAGTAGGTATGACAATTTCCTTGCCAGCGTACCCCATGTTGCTGACATGTTGCAGTGACACTGAATGTAGGTGACCTTGCTCAAGGACCAAGGAAGATTAGGGTGTTCCCGGTTTTAAGATAATCGTGTTTAGGGCGTTCCCAGTTTAGGTTCCAGGTTTAAGGTTTAAGATTATTCCTGCTGGGAATAGGGCGTATCCTGCTGCCTGAGTTCCCCTTGAGTTCTCACGGGATTCAGACAGTATATTTTGGGAGATAGAAGCCCAGTGGAGGTGGATTTGGGAAGAGAACGTGGATTTCCCCAGAACGTGATTGTAAACGGCTGGTGTGAGTTCGGGAATAAAGAGTTGCTGTTTGAATCTACAAGCTGTGTGGTGGCTCGTGATTGTGTGCCCAGCCAGACTGCGGCATTTGTGCCCAGCCAGACTGCGGCATTTGGCGTCCCATGCGGGGAACTTCTGAAGCCTGGAGGTAAGTGAAATTGCTCGCCCCTGAGGAAGAGCGAAAGAATGGGTGACCAATTCAAAAAACAATGTGTTATTGTTTTGATTTATTTTGTTTTTGTTTCGAGCTGCCTGTTCTTAGAACTTTCTCAGGCAAACTGGGGAAAATGGTTGACTCAAGATTTGAAGTTGTTCGCCTCCGAGGAAGAGAAATTGTTAGAGGAAGGAGGCACCCCAGTAAGACCAACAGTTAGGGCATATGTTGATACAATACAAAAATGTAGCACATGGCCTTTTAAAGAAGAGTTATTAAGTATACCAATGGGACCATCATGGTATCCTGTAGAAGGATTTTTCTTCAACAAGAAAGAGATGGCTAATTCTGTTTACTACATTTGTCTAAGATCTTGGTTTTTACAGACATCTGATTAATTTACAAAGCTAAAGTGTTTATCAACCACTAAATATGAAATCAAGTACTCTTTACTTATTAAGTTCCATAAGGTAATATATTTAAACATTATGTGTGTTTTCATAAATTGGTAAATGAAAAAATGTTTAATATTGCTTTGGTCTGTGTCTTTGCTGAAACAAGGTTACTAAGTGTTAAGATTCTATCATGTGTAATTTATATACAAAGAGTAGAAAAATTTTCAGTTGGGTTTCAATTATAGTATCATAAAAAACATGAAAGTCTTTCATCTTATTAAAGTGGAGTAATTTGTCTAAATCAAAATTATAAGAGTTGTTTCAGAATGTAAATTTATAAAAAGGGTTAACAGTTAAAAAAGAGATATAAAAAGATTCAAGATGTGGAAATATATTTTAATATAAAAGGTTAAAGGAAAAAGAAATGTTTCTAGATGAGATAATCTCTGTGTGGTAAAGTAAAAAGTTCTAAAATGCCATTTAAAAAAATTTTGAGGAAACTAGACTTACTTTAAAAGCTTGAGAAAAGAAGAAAGAAGAAAAAGATATTTGTACATGGCAGATTGAGACAAAGCTTCTCAATGGAGTTAAAAAAAAAAAAAGGCCTTTGGTTGAAGGGCAGCCATGTAAACTAACATTAAAGCGATTTAAACAGAATCTAAGCCTCGTTTAAAGAGTGAAGCTGTAGGTGGTGAAAAAGTACATTTAAAAGTACAGT